AAGATATTATAGTAAGTAATTAATAGAATAGTAAGACTATTAGTAATTAAAATTAATAATAATATATAATAGAAAATTAAAAATATTAGATATTTATAATTAAATATAAATAAAAAAATATATAATATTAATAATATATTTATTGAAAATAAGCTTATATATTATTATAATATTATATTTTTTATTTAGTTAGTATAAGATAATATTATTATAAATTTTTTAATAATTAAAACTATCTTTATTAATTTACTAAAATTATTTAAAGGATAAGTACTAATATAATAGAGAGATATTATTATAGCTAATAAGAGGGTAATCTTAATATTTAATAGAATATTAAAAAAATAGATTATAAAATTAAAATAAATTTTTAATATTAAGCTATATCTTATAATTAAGTAATTAAGTAAAAACTTTTATATTATATAAATAATAGAAAATAGCTATAATATAAAAGATTATATTATAAAATATTATAGATATATTAAAGTTTTAAAAATAGAAGATTATTTTATATAATATAATATCTTATATAATTACCTAAACTTTACTTTAAAATTAATTATTTTAATATTAGAAGTCTTATAGGAACTAGAGGACTAGTTAAGAGTAATAGAAGAGAAGGTAAAAAATCTTTACCTAGTAGTAAAAGAAAATTATAAAATATTTAAAATATATTCTTTAAAGTTAAAAAAAAATAAAAAAAAAAGAATTTAATAAATATAATAAAGATAAAAGTAAAGATATAAACTAAAGTAATTTAGGAAAACTTAACTAGAATTTATAGAACTATAATAATTAGTAAAGCTTATATAATAATTAAAGTAACTAGTAAAATTAATATAATAATAAAAAGCTAAAGTTTTCTATTTAAAATAAATTAAGATTTCCCTATTATAGTAATTATAAAAGAAACTATAGAAAACTTTTATATTAAAAAGAAAATTAGAAATATTACTAGTTCCTATAAGAACTAGAATTTCCTATTTAAGAAAATAAAAGAAATAGTAGAGCTAAAGGTATTTACTAAAGTTAAAATTAATAACTATTTAGATAATAATATTATAAATATTAAAAATATAATAAAAATTAATAAATATATTTAACTATAATTATATATAAAGATAAGTAAAAAACTAAAATTAAAATAATATAATTAGAAAATAAAAAATATAAATTCTATTAAATAAAAAGAGATATAGAAGAGTTTTAGATTAATAAAATAAAATTAATAAACTTAAGCTTTAAACTTAGTCTATTATTATAGTTTAATAATAGTATAGCTTAATTAGGGTATTCCTATATTATAGAAAAAGAAATAACTAATTTAGATAGTAAATAGGAAGACTTTAAAGAGGAATTAGTAATTTTAGAAATAAAAAAGATAAAAATAAAAAGAATTTACTTTAATTTAGTAATAATATATATAAAATATTAAGAAATATTTAAGTTATATATATAATTATATATTTATATAAGAGTATATATTAATATTTTAAAGTAAAAAGTAAAAATATAAAGAATAGCTTTAAAATAAAAAACTATTAAGATTAGCTTAAAAATAGAAATACCTTTAGTATTTTAACTTAAAAATAGATAAATATTTAAGATAATAATATTAAAGTAAATTTAGAAGCTTTAGAAGATAATATATATTAAAATACTAATAAAATTTAAAGTTAAAAGTAAAGAATAAGAGATCTATATAAATATAGATATAAGTAATAATTTAGTAAATAAGAAATAAGTTAAATAATTTTCTCTAAATATTAAATTTTATAAAAGAAAAAAGCTAATAATAATAATAAAAGCTAATAAATTATTTA